ATAAAACACATAATCTGATATTATTGTTAAATAATTTCATAAAGCATATTAACAAGGAAATAGGATTAGCATCTATTATTAACGGATAAAATGATAGTTTTATTTCAGTTACATTAGTTCCACAGTCCCTTAGAGTCTACTCAAAGAGTTCTAAGTTAAAAAAAAAAAAGAAAAAAAACTCTATGAACTCATTGAAGTTCACCTCTTGTCTTCCTCAAAGCAAATGATGAGCAGACTGCTCTGTGAACTTTTACAAAGAACTCTTTTCTCTCATTTCTACCATCTGAAAGATGGATTCTTCCTCTGTGCTAAATAACTCATCATCTCATTTCAAATTTCAGACAATAAATTCTTGGCATGAACAAACCCTTTATTAATCTTTCCCTCTTTCTAATAATTTATTAAATAACTCATTTCATTTCAAATATCTGAGAGTAATGAATTCTTAGCATGAATAAACTCTTTTTAATCTCTCCATCTCAATTCTATTGCGTGGTCAAGAAAATGTTTTGATTTATACTTTATTACCAAAAAATTCAAACCTGCCATGACAAATAGAGACATTTAATGTGTAAGGTGTGATTATGAGATTTTTCTTTTCCAGGTTCAGGACTAATTAGTAACAATATTCATGGAATACAGTCAAGTAACAATATTCAAATCCCCTAATAATAAGCAATCAGAGCATTTAGAAAAATTTAATCCTTTTCCTAATGAAGCAACTTTGGCATCAGTTCAAACCTCACCAGTTGGCACCATGATTTTGAAAGAGATGAACTTCCTGCCACAGACCCATGTAGATTTCTTTTAATAATGCTATCATCTTCTCATTTGTATAGCTGTAAAATTTACAGAACACTTTCATATCTAGTATCTCAAATCCTCCTCAGGATAACATAATGAGAGATAGGGCATTTTCTAAAGACCTATTCTGTTCTGGGCACTGTGCTGACAATGGTGCGGTTAAAAAAATGAACAAGAATGAATCCTACCTTGGAAGAGCTCACGGTCTACTGGGGAAAACAAATAAATAATTTCTGTGAAATGTGCTATAATAAGGAAATGGACAAGGAATTGAGATTCCCCAGCAGTACCAAGGGCAAACACCTTCTCTCCAGGGATTGGGGTGGTGGTGCCCCAAAGAAGACTTTGGTCAGGAGATCACATGCAGCAGGCTTTTGAAGGATGAGTAGGAGTTCCCTGATATAAACATGGAGTGGAGGGAAGGAGAAAAACACTCTCAGGCAGAGGGAACACCATGTACAAAATAGCTACTGATGAAGTTATTATTCCCATTTTAAAGATGAGGAAGATAAACTCTTAAGTGAGCTGCATAAAGTCACATGAATAATAATTAACAATGTATGAAACAGAATACAGGTCTTCCGATTTTAATCAGCTTTCTACACCAGGAAATGCCAGTACATGTTGGACAAGAACATCAGATAAAGATTAGGTTTTATCTCCTACTCTAATCCTTCCTAAAAGATGGTCCATGTCCAACCTAGCTCTTGGGTGGAGGGGGAGAAATGATCAGAGAAGGGAATTTATTTATTCCTCAAATCAATCCTGTGAAATAGGTGTTTTTACTATCCTCATTTTACACATGAGAATATCGAGACACACAGAGATTAACAAAAACTGGATATTAAGTGAAGTCTCAAACCCAGGTGACTAACCTGACCAAGCCTCTAAACTCAAGCCTTAACCATACCCCACAGATCCTACTTTGCTCAACAGCCCTAGGTCATTCTTCTTCTGAAGATATCAGGGAGACCAAGTGAGTTCTGGGACACATCATGGTCCCACACATCTTGCACTGTACCACACATCGTAATATTCACACAAATCCTTAGATCTGCCTCCCTTATCAATCTGATCTCCCTTGAAGGTAAACCCAGGCATAAGGTGGCACAGGCTCTTTCAACATTTTTACAATCTGACTTAACTGGACAAGAGTAAACTTGTAAAAACAGCAGTAACCAGAATGGAGGACATCACAAAATAATGGCATGAAGCCTGAAAATATAAAGGAGAAAGCCCCAATCCTCCTCTTTCACTTGCCAGTGGGGCTTTGGGTGGGGGAGGGGAATGCAAAGAGTGCTTCAGGTGGGCTAGCGTACCTGCTACTCACTGCAAAAAATGGAGCCTGGAGTATACCTGGAGTACACCCTTAACTGCCTTTTTCAAGGGTTCATATGACAACTCTAGGACATCCAACAACTAAACCTGCCTCTTGAATATTAAGGAAGCAGACCATTTGGAACTGCCCTGGTTTCCTAGGGCACTAAAACAACCTCACAGAACTGGGGATCAGCATATAAGAAAAAATAATGTCAGCAACACTGGATTTGCTAATGTCAGGGGATTGTGAGAAACTGACCACAAAACGGTTTTTCAATCTGTCACTCTGGTATTTCACCTTGTGAAGTATATGGGAAAATTAATAAATAATGGAATGAAATCCCTAAAGAAGTTTGTGGGCTATTATCTCTAGAATTTTAAAGATATATAAATCAATCCATCTTCGCTTTTTGCTGGTATGATTTGGAGTTGGAGGGTCCTACCCAAGTCCAGGAAAAATGACGTTTCCTTCCAGGCTCACTTTCAGCCCTATGGTTCTCTACTTCTCCAGATGGGAGGCTCTCCATCAGCAGTTTGGAATCTGCCAGCACCTCTCCAGGCTAGTGGGCACTATCAGGTTTCCCCTGAGGTCTCCTAGCATGGTGAAAAGGAAAGCTGACATGGTTACCCACACCCCCACGCTGCTTAATATCTTCACTGTCAGAACCACCACCATCCCATTTCTGTGACTTTAGCACCTGCTATTGACTCTTCCAGCCTCCCAGCCCCCACCCTGCAAAAACCCACATGTCAGTTTCAGGGAAACAGAAAACAGCATCTCTTCACAGGGTTCTGAAGCTCAACCAACTCTGGATTATACCAGCTAAAAGGAGGGCAAAGAAATGGAGAGGGAGAAGCTTCACATGTAAGTATCCTAACATTTTTTCTATGAAGCCGATACTCCAGGACCTGAGCTCTAAACTGAGCAATTCAAAAAGCAAGAAACTGACTGAGATAACAGATGTAACACTTTGCCTCCGGTTAAAGCACTAATGTCATTCCCAGCAACTGGATGATCAATCTCCAAGTCCGGGTGGTGGGGCTGCTCTAAGCCACAGAAACAAAGTTGTGTTTTTTTAATTTGTAGGCCCAAGTTTCACTCACAGTGATATCTCTTACTGTGATATCTTTGCCCTGGAGCAGGTGAAAGTGCAGGGCAGTCAAGTCCTTCTGGAAACAACCCAACCCTAACTCGCAATTCCAAGATCTGTGTACATGTAGTTTCACTGTAGAACCTGCAGCTTTGTAAATCAGTGAGGCTCCAGTGGACGCTGCAGAGCATCAAGTGACACTAAAGTATAAAATGGTAAAAACTTGGAAAATTAGATCAAGGGGGTAACTCCGGCCCATGTATAGTTTCCCCAAATATTAAATTAGATATATGCAAATACTAAGTTTAAGACTTAACCCAAATTCTGTAAAGATTTTATACCCTAGGAGGTGACTTCAATGTTGGGAACTTAGATACAAAGAAGATCGACTTCTTTGGTGTCATTTCCCACATTTTAAGAACTGTACTCTCTTAAGAGCCCCAAGACTACTTCTGGGAATAAAAAGGTGACAAAATTTAACTTGTCTGCTTCTGAGATTTAATGAAATCCCTAATACTTGAATGGGGGGAGGGAACTTGAAAAAAGGACAGTAGAAGAATCCCAGCTCAATTAATAATATCACTATTCAGGAAGAGGACAATTTTACATTCTTTGCAAGAAAAAGCATTGTTAGTCATGTCAACGCAATTCGATTTTCTTCATACAAAGTAAAAAGTACCTATCACTAAGAGTTATTTACATGAAACATGAAGCACGCTTCCAATCCGAAGACACTGAATAAAGAAAATAAAGCTAAATTTCGACAAAAGCAATAACTTCTATTGATCTATCTTACAAATAGCAAAAAAAAAAAAAAAAAAAAAAAAAAAAAAAGCGTTTCCTCTGAATAAGCCACTGAAAAAACCGGCAACCTGACGCCAAAGAGTCATTTTCTTAAAACAAACGTCCAAATGACTGAACTCAAATGGTCCGTCTATAGTAATGCTCGGAGCCTGTGAGCAAAAATCTTGTATTAAGTCAACCAGTGCGGCTCGCTCACCAAAGTAACAATTAAATGCATGAGAAGGAAAGGAATTAAGTGGGTTAAGTGCGAGCTGGATGACTGTTTTGAGACCTGCTCACAGGAAGCCACTACATCCTGCCTGAAGTCCTGTCAGTCACGCTGTCTCTCGATTCAAGTCCCCGCCGCAGCGAGGTGGGGCGAGGACAGGTGTCCGGCCCGGGCCCCTCCCGGCGCGCTCACCCGCCAGCACCCCGCGCGGCCGCCACTCGCGGCCCAGGGCGGCCCGTGGCCTCCGGCCCAGGGCGCCTTTTTCAACCTCGCGCCGGCGGCGAGCCCCGGGGCCAGCAGCCCCCTCCCCTCGGCGGCCCTGCTTCCCCGCCCTCCTCCTCCTCCTCCTCCGGCCGCGCCTCCCCCTAATTACCGCTCGCCTCCCACCTCGGGGCCGCTCCCGGCGCCCGCGGCCGCCCCGAGGCCTGCGTCTGAGGGCGGCCGGAAGCTCCTCGCGCCCCCCGCCCGCGCCCCCGACCGCGCCCCGGAGCCGAGCCCCTCACGCCGGCGCCGGCCCGGGCGAATTCCCCGCTCCCGCTCCCTCCGGACAGGGCGGCCCCAGCCCACGCCGCCCCGTCGAGGCGACGCCTCCCCCACCACACCCCTCCCAGCCTCGCCCGGCCCGGCCCGGCCCCCGCCCAGGCCCCTCTCGGCCCCGCGAGCCCAGCGCCGCTCCCGCCGCCGCCGCCCCCGCGCGCCCGCCGCCCCCTCAGCCCCGCCGCCGCCGCCGCCGCCGCCGCCGGGTGGGTCCCCTCAGCCCGGCCCTCGCTTACATATCTTGCCCCGCAGGCTCTGCAGCACTCGGACCTCGCGACTGTCCTCGTCGCCGGCCCCGGGCTCTGCCGTCGCCGTGGCCGCCGGCGCCTGGGAAGAAGCCGCCGCAGCACCAAGCGCCGCCGCCGCCATGGTGCCGCCCGGCCCGTGCCGCAGCCCCGCCGCCTGCGTAGCCGGGCGAGGCGGAGCCCAGCGGCGGCCTAGGCTGGGCGAGCCGCGCGCTGGCCCCGCCCCCGCCGCGGCCCCGCCCCGCCCCACCCCCCCCCCCCCCC